CATAGACCTCAGGCCATACCTCATCTCATTTATTCCTCACAGTCTCCCTCTGAGGTGTGGGTAGGGTTAATCCATTTTACAGATGAGAAAATCAGTGTTTAAGAACATTCATATTTTTGAATATGAACTCTCATGGCTGGCATTTGGTGGAGACAGGATTCTTGCCACATGTATCAAAAGACAGAACCACTGTTCTAGAGTGTGTGGCACCTTTCTTTGCTGAGTCACTGAGTCTCAGGATGACATGAGGCTTCACTAGGGGACCTTTCCTGAGATTAGAGGAGATAGTGACACAGCAACTCTTTGCCTGGCTCTTGGAACTTCGTTGTTACTTTGGAAACAGATTTTAAGACTTGAGTTCTGATTCATTCAATAAAAACTTTTTATCATGAACTACAAGCAGCACAAAAAAGGTATGCAGTTAATTCTTTTCATGCCTTCTTGCAGCTGTAGATAGAATTGATCTAGTCTGTGCATTCCTGTTGAACTTCTCTGCTCAAGTATGAGGAGCCTTTATCGCGGGTCTCTTGGCTGGCAGACTGAACCACTTTTGGAACTGGGGGAGGCAGCTTCCAGTAGAGGGTGTGGATTCGTAGTCCAAGGAATCAGGGCCTGTGTACACTCAGGAGTCTGTGCCTGACAGGAGCAATCACACAAGTTCTCTGTAAGTGGACCAGACTTGGTGTCCTGGAATTTGAGTCCAGAAGAGGAGAATAGGGCATGGGGTTACACTTCTGTCCCTGTAAATTGTTAGGACTGAGGCCCATGGCACGCTGAACTGCAAGGAGGGAATGACTCAGCCAGGCCTGCAGCCTGACATATAGGGATGAGAGGCAGGCTGCTCCTGACGCTTTCCTTTCTATAAAACTTATGTTAAACAAAGAAGTGCTCATAAATATTAGAAGGAATGTGATTGGTTGGCAAGGGACAATCTGCTGAATGGCCTTTTGTCTGTGGGCTTATGGAAATGAAGAAAAATAATTTAACTCAATTTGAATTATCTTATACTGGCATCCTCATTGAACATCTTAATCTTTTAAAAACTAGAGCATATGTGTATGTCAGGACAAATGCAGAGTCATAGACAAATGAGCTTGTTTTGAGAGTTCCTACTTATTGTGAGTAGATGAATTCTGTTCTATCTGAGGGTGGATCCTGTCCTATCACTAGTTAGTGAATATCCAGACTTATCCAGGTGAGAGATGTGTCCAGGCCAGAGTGGGATTTCTAAGGACCAGTGCTGATGATAAGGGAATAGGGGAGTGAGAGTGAAGAAGACACCAGCAAAACCAAGCACACGGTGACGTGAAGCTAGAGGACTTTGAGAGCTTTTCACCTGAACAGAAGGGAGGACTCATGAGGGCTAAATGGCAACCAGAGATGATCAGGAAGCAGGCTAAAGCTGGAAGAAACTGATGATCTCAAACACACCTGACAGTAGTGCCATCTTAAACCTATGTCATTTCATACTAAGTATCTTGACCCAGCATCCTATTTCATCCCATACCATATATGCCTGTGCCCGCCATGCTTCACCTGTACTGACTTCTTTCTGTTCCTCCAACTTGCCAAGCCTGTTCCCATATCAGGGCCTTTGCACATGCTACTCTATCCACCTAGAATGCCTCTCCTCTCTCATCCCATGTGTACATGATTGGTTTATTTGCAGTGAGGTCTCAATCAAATGTCACTTCTTTTTCTCTCTTGTCTGAACCAACGCTCAGCCAGCCACTCTCTGTTACATTACACTGTTTTATTGTCTTTACAACACTCATCACTCTCTGAAATCATTTTGTTTTTTGTTGACTTATTTAGAGTCTGATTCCTCTTACAGGAATGTACACACTGTGAGAGCAGGAGCTTTTTCTGTTTAAATGATCAATACATCCCCACTGCCTAGAATAGGAGCAGGCTCAGAACTAGGGTTCAATTAATGTCTGTTCAATGAATGAGTGGATGAAGGCACGCATGAAGTCAGACACAATTCAAGAAAGAGAGCCAAGACTTACCTACCAGACAAAGCAATCTGTCATTATATTTTAGTTACACTAACCTGAGAATAAGGAGTCTGTGCTCTTGTATCTAAATTTTTGTATTGTGTTTTAAGTGACTAAGGGCTCAGTAAATATTTATTGGATAAAAATTTAGTGAAAGGTCGTTTTTACGAATTCTACTCTTGTTTCAGCTGAATTTTAGACTAGGTAATCCAGGTGGCTCAGAGGGCAAGGGAAGCTTGGGGGTGACAGGTCATACCCACAGGAATGCTGAGAAAGCCTCAACTTTTGAGTCATCTTTTGAGTTAAAAGACAATGAATGTATTAGTAAATCATTTTTTAAAAGTAAAACTTGAGTTGGTATAAAGGTAAAATAAAAATCAGCGTGTGTATTAAGTATAAACAGTTGTTATTTTTAACTCAATAGTTTCATAACTCAGCTGAAAAGCAAGTGTTTTAATTTTCAAGGCAAATCCTAGCTGACATGTTGTAGTGGAATTCATTGAGAGATGAGCCGGGGTCTGGTATGTGGGCTTTGATGTAGTGAGTGGGAGCTGGAGTTAGCACAGGATTGGAATGTGACCTTCCTTGGTTGTAACTGAGACCAAAGGCTGATAGCAGGATGCGGGGCAGCTGTGGCACACTGCACAATGACCTGACTTTTCTGGGCTTCTCTCTCCTCACTGGAAAATGGGGAGGTTGAAATGGATAAAGAGGTTAAAATGAATAGCCCCATTGCTGTATTCTTGTCTTGATTTCTTATGTCCAGTCTCCTTCACTGAATCCATGTATCCACTACGGTTATCAGAAACCACCTTTTGATACACTTTATATTTTGAGAAGAGACTTGTGATCTGGATAAAATTTAGGCCGTCCCTTCCTTTCAGCATCTCCCATATCACACCCCCATTACTAGCTTTTTAGCAGCTGCTTTTATTTTTATCACAGTTATCTAGGATTTGTTTTCTTCCCTTGGTTGATGGTAGTACACGTATGTTTGGAAGAGACTGTTTCTTGAGTTTACAGGCTAATGCACAGAAGCCTCGGACTTCTGCCAGTGCCTCTGAGGCCCCCTAGATACCCATTTTAGAAACGTGTGTCCACCCTGCTGTGTCGGTGGTCTTCCTGAAGTGCTCTGAGAGTGGTCACCAGTGGACATAGACAAGTTATACTTGGAGCACAGCAAGCTAAGTTTTGACTTGTCTGCTTGCTAAGGCAATATTTACCCTGAAAGAAAAGAAGACTTCGGCTCAAGCTCCCATGGCATTTTCAAAAAATTAAGCAGTATGAAAGTTGCTAAGTATTTCTTCTAAATGTTAAAGAATTAAACCGAATCATTGCCAGTTATATATTTCAAAAATTATGTATATTTTTATATTTTTAAGTGTTACTATATATACGTATAACTCTTCAATGTGTTATGTATCAGCTAATTAGTGCATTACCACCCTTCTATATTCCATGTTTACAGTCCATTATTCACATTTATAAACATTAGAGCATAATTAGCATTTTATGTTATAAAACTTTATAGTTTATGTGTGTGCTTCTTTGCAATACATTCATAAGTAAGAGATGTAGGCTATCAAGGCCTTGTTGAGAAAGCAACTTGAATTTTTCTTTTCTTTTTCGCCCTTTCACTTATTATCCTTTTTGCAGTTAAAATAGTCATATAAGAAAGTACAAAAAAGCACAAAGAAGAATTTTTTAAAAATCCCTCTTTACTCCACCATCAGAAAATAACCCCATATGAACTTCAGAGACCATACTCTACATGCTATTTTATATTCTGACTTCTCTTTGTATAAAATACCAATAATATGTTTTCATTTAATTATTCTTCTACATATGATTTTTTAAAATTTATTTTATTTTTATTTATTTATTTACTTATTTTTGAGAAAGATTAGCCCTGAGCTAACATCCGCTGCCAATCCTCCTCTTTTTGCGGAGGAAGACTGGCCCTGAGCTCACATCCATGCCCATCTTCCTTTACTTTATATGTGGGATGCCTGCCACAGCATGGCTTGCCAAGTGGTGCCACGTCTGCACCCGGGATCTGAACCCGCGAACCCCGGGCAGCCAAAGCGGAAGGTGCGAACTTAACCACTGCATCAGCGGGCTGGCCCCATAAATATGATTTTTAATAACTGCATGATATTTCATCCTTAGCTGTCCATAACATAACCCCCTATTGTGGGAGGCAGTGTAGAGAGAGAACAGAGTCTGAGGCAGACATCCTACTTTTTACTAGCGGTGACCGTGGCGGAGTTCTGTACTCATCCCAGTCCTCAGTGACCTCACCTGTAAAATGGGATAACAATAGTGCCAGCTTTCTATCGATTTTGTGAAGATTAAATAAGTTATTATGGATGGTACTTAAAACACTTAGCGCACTTACAATAATGTTCCAATAATAGATTCTATTGTTAGAGCCTTATTATTCGATCATTATCCATTATTCTAATAGAATACCTGGCACATGGTAAGCACTCAATAAACATTCAGTATTATTACTTATATTGTTTTTAGCTTTTTGATATTGTAAGACTGTGATGAATATCTTCAAAGAAAAGTCTTTTGCTCTTCTCGTATTATTTTCCTAAGATGAAGTTGTAGAAGTAGAATTACATCCTTGATACTTATTGCTAGATCGCCCTCCGCACAAGTTGTCCCAGTGCACACTCTCCAGCACTGTGAGAGAGAGAGCACGGGGCGTGGTGTTGCTTCCGGAAGTGCGTTATGGTGGAAAACGGCAACTGCCCATGTGAGGATCTTTGCAGTTCTCTGAAATCATTGAATATTGAACAATTGGGATTTATTCAACTTACTCTTCAATATTCATGTAGTCTTCAGGCAAAGATATACAAAATTTAAAAATGTTCATTTTTTTATGTCTAGTATATTAATCTGATTTTTGCTTGAGAAGATATATGTATTGATATGAAAATTTGCACTTGACTGCATTGTTTTCCCCCATTGAAACTGTTTTCTATTTTCAAGAAGAAAGCAACAAGTCTTGGGAGCAGTCAACCCTCCAGAACCCATGCTGGCGAAACAGCCCCAGCCACCAAGGTCAGTCATTTCCTGAACATGAAAAGCCCCCTGCTCTACAGGTGTATCGTTAGTGGGTGGGGCCTGTAGGGAAGGCAGATGGGGCCTGTATATCGCTGAAAGATTTTGAACAAAGTATCGTTTCTGTGCTGGGCGGGAGGATGTAATTTCCTAATAATGATTCGAATGATTTAAAACCTAGTAAACCATTTATGTTATAATTCTCCCTGGAATATAATAATGTTTCCAATAAAATCATTATTATCATACCCATCTACAGATAATATTGGACTTTTGCACATACTATAAGTAGAAATATAGTCTTCCCACTTTTTCAGAAAATATTTTTTCAGAAAATAATTCAGAGCCTCTTTTTGAGCATTAGCTACACCAGGCTCTCTGTTAAATGCTAGATGTAATTATCTTATGCAATCTCCTCACAATTTTATAATTATTATTCCTTTATACCTGAGGAAACCAGGGCTCAGAGATGTTAAGTAACCTTGACAAGATCACAAAGCCAGTAAGATGGAGGTAGGGTTCAAACCCAGGTTTCCTGTTCACGCAAGATTCTTAACATGCTGGACCTTATAAGTTCCGATTGAGTATTCTTTGGTAATATAACACTTCAAAGCTTTGAAACTTATAAAAATCACTGAAATGTCACCTTGCAAGACAAGAAACTATACTTTAGCCAGCAGTTTTTAATGTATAAAATAGTTATGTTCAGTCCATTTCAACTTGTGTTCTTCCGATGTGTCCAAGATTATCACAAACCTTAACCTATTTCAGTACTGTCTATACAATTATTTTAAATAAATATTTTTCCTTTAAAACCAGTGGCTCTCCTACAGTCTGTGGACTTCCTTGTGTATGTTCCTTGTGTCAATCAAGAAAAAATCACTACAAATTAAATAGCAGATATTTATTTGGCTAATTAGAATTGCAACTCAGGAGGCACAGATTCAGGCAGAAGCCCAAAATGTGCCCCAAGGAAGACAAAGGAGGCAACGGTTTATAAAGATAAAGAGCTAGATTACACAGGTTGTTTTACAAGATTTGTGATTGGCATCCGCAACAACTGTTACTTCTTGGCTATACGTGATTGGTTGCTAAGGCCATCTGTAAGGCAAAAAGGTCTTATCCATGGGAGTATGCATATTTCTTGAAAGGTCAAGGTGACAGCAGTGAAGCACAGTTCAAAAGTTACATTCCATCTAAGTAGAGATGTGCATAAGCCCGACTTCCTTAATGGCCTCCCAGCTCCATTTTAGAAGCCTTGACATATGTTACTCCATTTTATTTTTGCTCCTCATTTATCCCTTTTGATCAAGATCTTTCAACAAAAAGCATTGCAGATCAAGCATTTGATGTATTGATATTTCCCTTATTGCCTGGAAAGCTTATTCTTGGGAAGTCATGTCCCTCATAGGGGGGAAAGTGAGGTGTCAATCATCAGGGAGTAATGTAGTCAGAGGCTTTGGCCACATCTGAGCAATAAGGAGGCAGTCAGGAAATGAGTCTTCGGCTTAGTCTTTATCTGGAAAAAGTATCAAGTCCTTTGTTTGGAGTTGCAAGATTTGTCAGTCATCTCAAGTCACTGGTATCGTCACTCTAGCAGTAGACAGACCTGCAGCATCATGAAATGCAAATCATTAAAGTTTAAAGGTGGCAAAGATTGAACAAACCGGAATAATAATCATTAGCAAGGCTTGGAACCTTGATCTTAAAATAGCTCCAAGGCCAATGGGTAACCAACCAAACAGGTCAAAGTGGTCTAGGAAGCCAGCAGTATGACCTATATCATTGAGGAGATTTACATTATCTTTGATGACCTTTAGCTCTTGTTTTATGTGACCAGACTCATTTACATAGAAGCAACATTCTTCTCCCAGGAGTGTGTGCAAGTATCCCCTTCTTGAGCAGTTAGGATGTCAAGAGCCCTTCGATTACCTGACACAATCCCTGTTAGGGAATCCCGGGATCATCGTTGTTGAGCCAAGGCTCAAGCAGTAGATTTTGCCAGTTTAGCTATGGTTAGGATAAGATTTTTATCAACAGGTCATCACGGACAATATCAATCCAAAGGACAAAGCCTTTGGTGATGGTAATCAATGGAGAGTAGATGGGGTGTAAAAAAGAGGTCACCAAGTTTCACCTAGACTTATGAGATTGAGGGTGTTTTTTTCCTTCGACAAGAACTTGAAATGGAATATTATGATTTCCTAAAAGACATTATTCTGTCATATGCCAGCTGTCTAGACATTCATAAGCCCATGGTTCCCTGTGGTAATCACACATAGAAGTGTACCAGAAAGGGGGCACATAATATACAATGCCTTCTAGTTCTGTAGCAGAGTCTGTGGTGAGGAGCACTTGGCAACGTCCTTTCCACTGGGGTGTGAGGGCTTAAGTCTTTCTCAGATGATGCTTCCAGAATACTCAGTCCTCAGGCTCTAGACTGTGACCAACAGGATTCCTTTAAACTGGAATCCGGGAAAGCTGCTTTAACCTGTTGATGATAGGCTTAAGCATAAGACATTAGAGACTTGCTACAGATGGTCATACTAGCATAAGGCAACAATTGTCTCATGTGAGGTTAGTTTATATTTTCCAAAGAGGGTACTTCGAACAGTCAGCGAGATCAAAAGTAATACCCTAGGCTGGGAGGGGGGGTCCAGTCCATAGGTATATAACAAAACCTAAAAGACAATTAGACTAGAATCTAGTATCTATAAAAGTACAAACATAATTTTTCCCTCAACAAGTACCCTCATTTTCTTTTTACCAGAAATAATCACAGTAAAACTAATTTGTTTACATTAAAAACTTAGCCTGATTATTTATACAAGTGAAAATATGAATACTCACTGAGATTTTCTGAATTCTGGAAGGATTAGATAGGGAGAAAAAGTAAATGTTTCATCTTTGGTCACAAAGGTATATCTTACCAAGTTGTTGCTAGCTTAAGAGAAAAGATTTCTTTAAATGTGGAAAAACCAAACAGTAGAGCATCTTTCTCAGTTCGTGTGGTCCCATGTAATTTCATATTTCTTCTGCTTGAATCCAGTTTTCCCATTAGTTTTCTTGACTTTGCCTGATGATTGAGGATGATAGGAATGGTGGTAATTCCAATAAGTTTGTAAGGTTGTTGTTAAAGTTTCTATGATTTGGGGCCTGCCTGGTGGCACAGTGGTTATGTTCGCACGTTCTGCTTCCCGGGGGCTAGGGTTTGCCGGTTCGGATCCTGGGTGCGGACATGGAACTGCTTGTCACACCATGCTGTGGTAGGCGTCCCACGTATAAAGTAGAGGAAGATGGGCATGGATGTTAGCTCAGGGCCAGTCTTCCTCAGCAAAAAGAGGAGGATTGGCAGTATTAGCTCAGGGCTAATCTTCCTCAAAAAAAAAAAAGAAGAAAGTTTCTATGATTTGCCCAGTGAAGTGGGTGCCTCGATCACTGGAGACTGTGGAACGTATATCCCAAGTGAGAAATACATTTTCTAACAGTTTCTTTGCCATTGTAAAGGCATCAGCTTTGTGACAAGGGAAGGCTTCAATCCATGTGGAAAACATACATACAGCAAGAACACAATGGTAACTCATACTAAGTAGCAGTTGAATGAATTCCAGCTGCAGATGCTCAAAGGACCCAGAGGGAGGAATTCTGAGGCCTCTGGGGACAGAGATAGTTTTTCTTAATGCGTTATAGTGAGTGAAGGAATGTAGAATCAAAAAAATGGGGTTTTCCAGGGAGCCAGAAAGAAACAAGTGGCCGTCTTGGGTTTCCCATAGCTCCGATTGTTAATTTACAGCCCTTGTTTACCCATCTTAACTTCTCTGATTCAGGAGCAGACTGTTGCCATGTTACAGGGATATCAGGATGGCAAAAGTCTGGCAATGAAGAGTCAAATTTTATTTAACTATTTGTAATCTTTGCTTTCCAGTGAAACTTAGGAAGCAGGCAATTATAAACTGTCTATGATATATTAGCATCCTGTAGTAGATTAGCAAATGCGTAAACACATTTCACAGTTTTTGGAAGCATATTTCTCTTTACAGCAAACTTTTCAATGGGGCACAAAACATGTCTATTAATAACCCAAATATTGTTTGTCTCTCTGTTAAAAAAAAAAATTAGAAAGTCAAAACTAGAAAAACTTATGCTTAGCAATCAATGTCTCAGAATGCCATCCTGTCCAGAAATGATTTAGATATTCAATCAATATCTATTATTTGGTTTAACTTAGTATAAGTTTTTATCTTATTTAAATTTATTTAAATACTTGTTTTTAACAACTATGTTTGTATGAGATGTTAAATCATAAGCCATCATTCCAAGTCATTCCCCCTACAAATTCTGTAACACAGACAGCATGAGCCCACTGTACCAGTAAACCAAGGTAGAAAAAGTTGTATTTTGCATTATATTCAGTACTGATAACTCTGAAGACATGCCTGTTTTTCTTAAACCAAGTTAAATGATCTTTCATTTATCAAAGATTATCTCAGATCACTTGAACTTGAAAAACACTTGAACTTGAAAAACATTTGTATTAGTTTCTATATTTCTGAGAGTTTTAGGAATACTCAAGTTATATAAATGTTTAATTTTGGGAATACCACCCAGATTTAGAAAAATATCATATATATGTATATAGAGAGAGACATACATACATAGACATACAGACACAAACAAAGGTCTTTAAAAATTTTAGCCATCTCTCAGGTACAAAATTCAAAGGAATAGTTGGATCCAAATTGTGTTTCTGGCAGATGGATTAAGTTTACCTGCTCAGATGGCCAAAGATTTTTACTAAAGATGTATTTTTTCTTGCTGAGAAAGACTTGCCTTGAGCTAACATCTGTTGCCAATCTTCCTCTTCTTGTATGTGAGCTGCCACCATAGCACGCCCACTGACAGACAAGTGGTGTAGGTCCACACCCAGGAACTGAACCTGGGCCGCTGAAGCGTAGTACACTGAACTTAACCACTAGGCCACCAGGGCTGGCCTGGTAAGG